TTGACAATAAAGTTAAAGGTAGCATGAAGGCCTGGGCAAAAATTCGAGATTGAGTCTCAATAAGGATTTCCTGGTTACTGGATTCTGCTCTTACCTGTGGCAAGGCCAGTTAAATTACTGTGTTGCTGACAGGCACTCCTAGTGATCTGGGGTCACTTATCCAATGCTTTTCTGCCTCAAGAGTCCTGTCTGTGGCATGGACAGATACCACTATCTCACAAGGTGCATGAAGAAATAATGCACAAAAATTGGGGTTGGTTGGGTTCAGTGGAAGACAAGACATTGTGGGGTAACTGTTCATGTAGGCAGCTTTCATAATGGCTCTGAAAGATTGCAGGGGCTGCCTGAACCACTTGCATTGTCTTTGTCTTACATTCTTCATATTCAAGTTGCAGTTCATTTTGTTCTATTTCTGCAGAAAAAATCTTCATCCGTGTGATTGATCCTTTCACTATAAAGCCCCTGGATAAGAAGACAATACTGGAAAGTGCAAGAGTGACCAAGGGCAGAATCATCACTGTTGAGGACCATTACCATGAAGGTATGCTGGGTCCAGGAGGTCATAGTCCACACAGTTATTCCCCAGGGGTTGGAATCTCACAGCTTCTGACCTGAGAGAGAAGTATGGGACTTGATGCTGTCATTCTGTTAAAGCAAAATAGAGGTTTTAGCCTTTCTCATTACTTTTAATAATTATGACACTGAGGATTGAAAGTTTCCTCAGATATAATGGGTTAATCAGGGCTCTTTTATGATCAACTTGGCCTTGTGTGCCCTTCCATGTGCTTGGTCCGAGTGAAGTCTTGATTCATTTCTGTTCACTGAAATTGTAAGTTCCTGCTGTGGTGCAGTGATTCTGCATGGAATTTCTCAGAATAGCTTTTACAGCAGCTGTAGTTGTGACAGTTTTAAGTTGTGAGAGACCACTGCTGTGCAGGTTTTTTTCCTATGTTTTCCCTGTATCCAAAAGTGCAATTCTAGGTTGCTTGAAATCAGATGATTTGGCAGTTTCCACAGTCACTCTGAGATAAATTCCAGAGTGAACCTCATAGAACTGGCCTCCATTAACCCAGCCTGGCCAGATCCCCCCTTGCAGATCATTCCTACCCTCCAGCAGATCAACACTCCCACCCAATTTGGTGTCATCTACAAACATACTGAGGGTGCACTCAATCCCCTTATCCAGATCATTGATAAAGATATTAAACAGAACTGGCCCCAGTACTGAGCCCTGGGGAGCACCACTCATGACCAGCTGCCAACTGGAGTTAACTTGGTTAATCTGCTGCTGCTTGCTCTCTGACATGTTGTGCTGACACAGGTTTTCAGGGGCTTGCCTGTGCAAACATGTCCCGTGAAGATGAGACTGTGTGCAAAGAGCAGCGGTTGTGAATCACGTCAGGCTTGATCTTCCTGGGGGAGATGGGGAAATTAGTAGAGGGGCAGCTGTGAACTATGGCATTAGTAGATATCTATGATAACTACTAATAGAAATTAGTAGATATAATTATGAGAATATTATCCTACTTTAAGGTGAGCATCACTCTTGCCAGGTATGTGAAGTGAGCTGGTGTTACTGTAAGTGCTGGTTACACAGTACTTTCATTCCAGAGTATGGATGCTGATAGCATCACTGAGCCTCACTGTTTTCTAAGCTTATCTTACAACTCTGGACAAGTATTTTACTGCAGATTTGCAGGATATCAAAACCATCACACTCTGAGGTGAGGAACATAAAGATTACTGTGGCATGGTAGTCTCTGTGTGATGCAGCCAAAGAAGGTCAGGTGCTCACACCTCACAAGCCTGAGCATGCTGCAGGCCCACATCAGGTTGATCTTACCAGCGACATCCATGGAGGTGCCTCTGGCTGGAGGCTGTTTTACTGTTTTAAATCACCCTATGCCTGGAGCTGTTAAAAGCCTGATACACCCTAACTGAAGTGTAGCACCAAGGTCTCAAGTACTACCAGGTCTCAAGAGCACATGCTCTTGACGCTAGTCCTGTGCTTTCTTCTTCCCTTGTACTCCTGCTTCCAGTGTCTCTCCTGCTACCAAACAGTTCCCCACTACATCCTTTGTGTGATCGTGATTCAGTCTGTGAATCCCTGATAGTGATTTGGTCTGAGCTGAGCTCCAAGCAAAGTATGTGAATGCGTTGCATAACTCAGAGAGGTGCCTTGCGGCACGTACAGGCATTCTGAAAAGATGGAGATCTTAAATGCCATGGAGATCGGTGGGAATTCAGACTTTCAACACATTAAGTACACTTGTAAATACTCTGCAGTTTAAATATATTTTAAACCTGGCCCTCTGTAGCTGATGCTGAAGTGGTGAGGGCTTCCTGACAGCTCTTTGCCCTTTGGAGGTACATCGTTTCTCACTGCCAATTTGCAAGTACTTCAGAAGTGGCAGGCTGGTTGTCCTCAAAATGCCTTGGAAGTAGGGAATTGTCTTAATTTCACAAATGGGCAACTCAGACATATATTGTGATTGATGATACTGTGAATTGAGGATTTAACTTGCATGGACCTTTGGATCAGATATACATGCAATCTATATGTTGCCTGTGGAAACGTGCCAATGTATGTCATGTTTGACTTCTTTATTCCATAGGTGGCATTGGAGAAGCAGTGTGGGCTGTAGTGGTGGGTGAGCCTGGGATCACAGTCAATCGCTTGGCTGTATCTCATGTACCACGCAGCGGGAAGTCAGCTGAGCTCCTGAAGATGTTTGGCATCGATAAAGATGCCATTGTGCAAGCTGTTAAGGTGGCAGTGTCCAAATCAAGAAATGCAGAGTAGTTTGAAGCATCTTGTGCTATTACAGAAAAGCAGTGTTCAGAGAAGTACTGTAAGTTTAAGGCAGGCAAAGGTGCTTTATGTAGAGAGTTCTAATAAAAGTACCAGCTTAAAAAAACTTATGGTTTTTAATCTCTTTTTTTGCCTGTGGGGTTTTGTGTAGTTGGGATAACAGTCATTGGAAAACCTTCAGTTTATTTAATAATGTGTGGGCAGCAGCCCTTTACCTGCCTGCTGCGAGCATTTTCTGCTTTGCAACTATCCTTCCCTGCTGTGAGCTTTGGCACTGGAGTGGTTGGGTGTTTGCTGAAGGTCTGAGTGGGCTGTGCTTCAGCAGGGAAATAGGCATTGGGCATTGCAGCCTAGAATGAATTGAGTAACTCATTCAGGTCTGGTCCAACTTACTCTTGAAGATTAAACTGATGGACATGGAGAATGGTGGCTCAGTGAACATGACCTCATTTAAGGGGATTGAAAGTCTTCTGAGCAACATGTATTTTTGAGTGCTTGGCCACTGCTGCAGCAAGGGTGATGCGTGAGACCAGAATGAGAGTGTTGTCACTGGGCAAGAGGCAGGATGATTAAACTGCTGAGATGGACCCCGGAAGGAGCTAAAAGAAGAGCAGGAAATTCCCAGACACCTGAAAGGATGCAGCTGAATGTGTAAGTTGATCTTTTCTTTAGAACTGGCTCTTCTCATATGAGCTGCTTTAAGTTGGGAGAGTTCATCTCACATGATGGGTTCCACTGGATGATTTTAAAATGTTTTGCTGGTTTTAAATGTTTTGCTTATTTTACCCTTAAGCAGCTTGTTTATGAAAAAAACCCCTCATTTTGTTGACTACTATTTGCAGTCAAATAGCAAATTTGAAAACATATTTAGCACTAAAATGTTTCTCATCCTGACTATTCCACAGATTACCTTTCAGAAAGATGTTGCACAGCAGAGGAAACTCTGATTTTCATCAGAGCAGGGTGACTGTGCACAGGCTTTCGGTTCACCCAAAAGCCATTTGACATTAACACCACTGTACAGGGCTGAGCAAGATTTCATTTGCAGACTAACAACACAGAAGATATAGTACTTTGGTATGACAGAATTCTACAAAGAGAGAAATGAGAATGTAAGTATTACAAATAACTTGTATTCATCCTTACTGCTTTGGCTTAATCCCTGTCATGTACCTGCTGGGCTCTGTGGGTACAGGCCTGCGTACAACTGTTGGCATTTCTGGATGTGCAAATGGAACTGCATCGAACAAGGATGATCCACAACGGTGCTTAGAATTAAGGGCAACTGAAAAGTAAGGGCTTTACGTTTGTAAGGCTTGAAATTGCTTCTCTAAGACTCTGGACTGTTTGGGTTTAATGGGTTTTAGATCTACATTTCCGTACAGTTCCATGTTTTATGGCTCTCTCTGTATGACATGATGTCTTCATTTCCCTATGGGTATGACTGCATTAGCCCTACATATATAATGTGTAACATGTTCCTGTAAAATGAAAGGGATGCTAAAGTTGCACTTTCTTTTACTCAAGGAAAGAAAAATGTTGGGGGATGAGTTAAATCGAGCACTTTGCCCATCAGAAGGAGAGATGAAATTTGCTGCTGTTAATAATCTCATTACTGCACCATTATTGTCACTGCATGTAACATCTCACCCAGCTTTCATGGGGTGAAATCATTATACGCCCACTGTATTGAGTTCTGCCACAATAAATTAATCTGCTTCAGTGCTGTTGCACTGTTGGGGCTCAGCTGTGTAAGCAAGTGGCTGATGTGTGCCTGGATTGTGGCATCACACAGGGTGAAGAGGAGGCGGCTTTGTGGGTGCCAAGATTCTCACTGAAACATCCAGAAACAGTGAAGGATAAGAGTGGTCATTGTGTTGATTTTGATACACCATAGGCAGACTAACATGAATGTGTGGGGGAGGGAAAAAAATGTGTTTATATTTAATGTAATTAATATAAACCTATATTCAGATTGTCTTACAAGCTCTGGTGAGCCATGACTCACTTCAGAAAGAGTAGGACCCTGTACTGAAGTTTCAGCTTTATTTTTCTGGGGACGGAATGATGTCTTTCTGTGGTTTAACATTTTGTTATTTTACATTAGCCATTAGGTTACTGTGTTCACCTCATAAAGCAGCTCTTTTAATACAGCAGGGTTCCATGGAATTCTCCTGAAATACTCCTCCTAGTCAGCCTTCCTCATACCTGCATGATGAAGAAAAAGATCAACGTCAGGACTATTGTTTGCAAATTGTCATATATCTATGCAGCTGTTCAGCATTCTTCATATACTGTGTTCATGAACACGGATAAATATCAGCCTGGAGTCTGTCTGAAGACCCAGCAAGAGAAACCTACCCCTACTCCCTCAGTTTTCAATTGAGATACAGAATTCTTATTCCTAACAATTACATTGTTAGGAAATAGTTAATGTCCCATACCAGGCAGAGTATTAAAAATGTGGAAATGCTCTGCCACATGGAGAGTGAAGAATAACTCATTTTCAACCCCAGGCAGCTGTAAGAAACTGGAGTGAATTTTTTTTTCTTTTTTTTTCTTCTTTTTAATTAGGAAGATGGGAAATCATAATTTAGAGAAGTTGGTCTTCAGACTTTACTAAAATGAAGCACCCAGGAAGATCCAGGGGTTATGCATGTAGTCAGTAAGAAGGTCAGTTACCTGTAGGCCTGAACTTGTCAATCAGAGGAACAAGGCTGTTAAGTAAGCTCCGAATTCGGTACACTAATGGTGAAAACAAACATATTTTTTCAAGGTGAGCCAGATAGCAACATAAAGCATAGAAAAATGGCAAAACCCAAACACTGGCATTTACAGTATTAATGAACCCAAGATCCCTATTTAAACAAGCATGTTTGCAATATCACTAATAAAGTAGTGACCAGACTGATTTCTGGGAACCAGCCACAACCTACCAAATATGTTAGCCCACGATTACAGCAGAGACTCTTGCTCTCAGTTGGGAAGCTGTAACTTGCTGCTGATTGCACCGTTCCTGCCACATCCCATGGGATTGCTGAGAATGCCCATATTTTTAATAGTATTTTCAGTAGCTGCTGCCATCCTGGTTCAGCCGCCTCAGTGCCAGGCAGTGAATGGCAGCCTAAGTGTGCAGCACCTTATAGAGTGTATCTGGGAAAGCTGCCCTGCTGCTAAAATAGTCTGTTGTTATGGCAACTTAGCATTCAGCCATTGCTGCAGGAAGAGGTGACTCAGGGTCTTGTGATCATTGAGAACGAAAAATGAGTCAACCTCTCCCTTCAGTGACACTAAGGCATGTTTGTCTCCAGCCACACTGGAATGGTGGATGAGATGTTACAGGATCACTCCATGGTGACGTACAGCATCACAGCATGAGACATTCTATGGATTTGCATTGCTCAATGACTGTGTGACCTTGTACCCTTAGTGCAGATACAGAGTAGGCTGCTGTAGATACACTTACCTAAACCAAAGTATATCCCGGTGGTTTCCAGGGAAGCAAAGGTGACCAATCCAGTTCCAAGAGAAATAGTCCAATCTAAGGCAATAAACTAAAGGTTTGGCTTTGATCACTTTTCCAGTGTGCAACAATTTATCCTTCTGTTGAAGTTTTGCCTTACCTTTGTAGTAGTAGTAGCAAATTAGTAAAGCTCCAATTGCAAAGCAAAGAATTACAAAATGAAAGAATTCATCTGAAATAGAGAGGAGAAAATTAGGTCACAACTTCAGGCACGGCCCTTACAAATACACCTTAAAATACAGTGTATCTATAGCTCAGCTAATATAGTCTATTTCCACAAGGTGTCTTGTACACTAGAGTCAACTACAAAACATCCATGTGCATGTTGCAAGGAGCCGTGATGATTTGCATCAAGAAGCCCTGATGCATTTTAACGAAGTATTCATGTTGAAAAGCATGCTTTTTTGAACCAGAGATCTTATTCATGGAATAAGGTTCAACAGGGTTGAAATCATCTGAATTGAAAGAAAGAGATTTTGAAAGATTACCATCCTTCCGTATGCCCATCCACCGAACTGTCCGCTGATGGAGGCGAGTGTTCTCGTCATATGCTGCAGAAAACAAATGTCTTTTATTGCCATGGAATTCTGAAATTAAGCAGTTTTAATGTTACTTCCCTTCTATGTGAAACAGATTCTCAGAACAGAACGCATTTAAAACTGTTCAAAGGAAAGATCTCTGAGCCTTTCAGGTCAAATTTGCAATTTTTAAATCACCCCAAAAAGCAGGTTGGTTGTTTTTAAAAAGGCATAATCAGATGGTTGCATTAACAATATAGAATTATTTTAAAGCATTCTGGGTCTCTTCTATCTAGTCTGAGACAATTGGTAGTCTCAGAATTAGTGGGGGAGTAAAGCAGTACTACAAGGAAGCTTCAGTTTGATTCTTGGGTGATTTGCCCAAGCCACTATAATACAACCATCTTCATTACCAAGCATATAAGAACCATCAATCTACTTATGCCTGATGCTGAAGTATTTCTGTACCTCCCAAATTAAGAACAGTAGCTGGCAATTACTCTCCTTAGCTAGCTTACTGATACATAAAAAGAACAACGATACAACAAGCTAGATATTTTTAGAGGCTTAAATAGAGAGTGTTTTGCTCAGTGCCAGTTGTGTGCAGTTGCCAAATTGTGTTCTTTTTCCAACCGTATTGTCAGTGAGAGCTGAATGTTTTACCAGATCTCCAAAGACATGTGCAGAGCAGAAGGTTTCTTCCTTTTTCTGTTTGTTGCTCACAGAAGTCCCCTGGGCAGGCTGCTGAGTGTCAGCCCTTGGCAGTTGATTCCTCACTAGTTTTAGGTGCTTATTTCACTTACACTGGTCTGTGCATCCAGGCAACCACTGCCTGGCAGTGAATTTAATTTTCTCTAAAGATGTAACAGGTACTAAAGATGTATTCCAAACGAGCTATAGGCTCTTGCTGCTCTGCTTTTGAACCATGAAGCAACTCAACTTTGCCAAGAAATTCTTTTCTGGGTCACCTGATACTGGAGTCGTATTTTTAAATTCTTGATTCTTTGAGCATTCTGGATTGATCGTGTTCTGGTTTGGGCACAAACTCAGCTATTTGGTTGTTAATGTTAACAGCGTTGCACCCACAAACATTCCTCTATGCACTTGTATGAATGATCCACAGACACAGAAGTTATCAGAACACCAATTCATGCTTAGTGAGTGTCTGTTTGTATTACTTTGCCTCCTAAATGCAATAGTCCCACTGCATCTTTGTGTCATGGAATGACTTGCACAGTATTTCTTCTGTTAATGCATTTTAGTAACTATTTTCAAATTTCCATCTTTTGATGAGGAAGTATCTAGTATCAAGGAGCTGGTACAGCTATAGTCACTAAGCAAAACTTAGTTCTGAAAGACAGCATCTGCAAGAAAAACTTCTGCTTGTTTGTACTTACCACCTGCAATTGAATCTTCTCTTCTGGTAATCTCTGAAAAGCAACATAGTTTAATTATTTCTGATGGTAAAGTACAAATACGTTGTTTCCTACCATCATCAGCTCCAGCAAGCACAGCAAGTATTTGCATATTTGGCAACTCAATATAGACAAAACAGTACCTGAAACGGCCATGAAATTAGGGAGGGTAAAAGAGCCCAAGAACAGATAACAATAAAACTGACTAGTCGCAGTGATCCCAGGTTCCTTGAAAACAGCTGGGCAGTACAAGATTGATGGGCTCCATGTCCAGTTGCTACAACTGAAGCTAGAACCAAACTGGACAGGTGTTTTTTAATATATAAGCATGGCAGGAAAAGAAACTACAGTTACAGTCTTCCTTTTAGGAGAGTGAGGTTATCTGGGAATGTTTACCTGAATCTCTGTAGGGAACGACCTCTGCTGGTACACCTAAAATATTACACATAGATGATGTAGATTAATACCCATGATGAATAGCTTGCCACCAGTCCTAGCCCATGCACCTCTATTGAAATTAGAGTGGTTGTGTATAAGTGACAAGGCAGATTCCAATTCCAGCCATTAGAGAGGGCAGCATAGCTGTGGGTTATGCAGTTTGACAGCAAGAAACATAAATGGATTATTAACCCCTCACATTCCATCTCTGAGTATCTGGAGTCAGGTAGAATCAGACTCCTATGAGACAAATTAGTTCTCCTAATGTCAGGTTAAATGAGCCAGCTTTACATCGAGTTGAGATCAATTTCAGACATAAAGTGATTAAAGCTTTAATTTTTTTCTATCTGTGTTTCCAGACCATAAACTGACAGCTATTTCTGTGTGTTGACACAGCACATTTTCTTCATCTGCATAGTACTTATTTTCCATTTTTCCTTTGGAAGGAAAGGAAAAGCCTTCAGAAGGAGACCCAAGGTGTGGTTCTTGCTGATCTCTGGTCAGTGCTGAGGGCTGACTGCAGAACCTGTAAGTAGTGGTTATGGCAGGTATTTTCAAAACTCTTTTGCTGCATTTCAATGGCAGTGGTGCAGATCCAGGCAGTGGGACTTCTCCCACCACAGCAGAATTTGCTATTCTCCTGGTTAAACTCTAAGCAGAGGGCAGGGGTAAGCATTGGTATGACTTGAGCTTCATCTGTAGGAAATGCCTTTCCTCCAGCCAGATACTGACTGGTCATTTTCCTATGTCTGTACATGGTAATGTACTTTGTTCAAAAGTCAAACCAGAGAATGCCAGAAATTATCATATCTTTTCTTGTTTATATTGGTTATCTTTAGTGAAAATAATACTGTTGTGACTTTGTCCTACCTCCAAGTAATTGGCCTTCAGTCTTCTGTCTTCCTAAATCTTGCCCATCACTGTCTGGATAGAGAAAGTGGTTTTTCATTAGATTAAAGAAAAATGTGCCAGCAGTATCAGAAACAACAGCACTATAGCTGTTTACTCATAATAACAATAATAATAATAGCTGTGGGATATGTAGGTAAAAATCAAGGCTTTGAAATGCAAGAATCATTATCAGGTGCTTTTGCCTCACAGCTCTCTGCCACACTGGCTGAATAGAAGAAAACTAGCAAAATCTGAAGTTGGAATAATTTGTATAAAGGGCTGTAGTGAGTAAGTTCATATCTGAAACAGGAACATCAGCACTGCTCTTTTAAGTACCATGGTACTGCCAGCTGCTACAGTACACTGACTGTTTTTTGCCTCCCCCTATAACACAGGCTTCAGTTGGACTATAAACACTGAAGATCATAGAAGTTTATTTGGGAAGAAATCTTGCAGCAGAATTCCATGTTTCTGAAGCCTCCAACTTCCACAAGAGCAGGAGGCGGCCACTATTTTGCTGATAATGAATCTGGACATACTGATTATTTTCTGTGTTCTCTCTTCTGCACAATTTCTCACTTTTTACCAGAGTTCTGCAGAATTGCTACAAGTCTCTGATGTAAATGTCTTACGAACATGCAATCAGATTAAATTATGTATCAGTGAAAAATAAAATAACTCCTCTTTACCTTTTGTGTCTTCATCTGTGGACTCCTGGGATGAGTTTTCAGCCTTTTTATCCCCTTGTGAATGCACAAGATTCCTTTCTAATCTCTTCAGGAGTTTCAGTTTTTCATCTGTTTCATAAATAGAGAAAAAGGTATTAGAAATAATTGTTCACATTTACTCTCTTCTATCATGATAGATTGCACAATGGTTGAATTCAAAGTTGTATGTTGAGAAATCAGACCCTTAGTCTTATTTCAGCTGTGGTTTTTGCACACAAGGATTAAGTACAAAGCATTACAAATTAAAGCAGCATACACACTACTGTTTAGACTTTCTTAAGAGTGTGGGAGATGCCTAAAGTTTCATATTCTGGCCTTTACTCATAATGCTACCTCTATAAAAACTCCCATTCCCTGAAGCAGTTGCAGCTGAAAGATGTTTCAGTTGGAGAATAGTTGCTCACCCTTCCCTGGATTACTTCTCCTTTCACCCCTGGATTTCCTATGTGCATGCCGCAGTGCCAGCACCCTCTTGTGGCACAAGAGCAAAGCCCTCAAAGCCAGCCAGGCCAAATCACCGGGAGGAGAAACCTTCCCTTCATGAACATGTCTGATCAAGGCAAAAACGGGAACAGAATCTCCTTGAGGGTATCCAGTTAAATTCAGGGTCATCTTAATGTCAGCTTTCTAATCTATTAAAGACAATTAATGATTCTACAGACCCTGTGGAACTGCACTTAGTTTCTTACTGCACACCCAAGCATGAGAAATGCAGTGGAGTCTGTTTGAACCTTGCTGCCAGGTTCAGCACCCTGAGTGGCTCTATCTTCTATCCACTACACTACACGTGTTCCTACAGTCACTTGCAAAAATATTTTCAGTGGCTCAGCTTGGATTTCTCACCACTGTGAGAGCTCACGGAGGTCCAGGCTGGCTGGATAACAGTCCATGCGATGTCCTTAATCCAGTTAGACAGGAAAAACCAGGATGTAACTTTGAGTCAGAGAAATTTCTTTGGTATCATTATGCCAGGACATCCTCTCTCCCTAAACACATGGGGTTTTTTCCCTGAGAAGAAGCGAAATCAAACTAAAGTAAAATACTGTCTTTGGCTCCCATTATCACCATGCCTAACTGACTTTTCTACGCAGTACTTTTTAGACATTTTAGCTGTTCACTAATAATCACTTCCAAGCATTTTCAAACAAGTGCCAAGTCCCACTGGCATTGCAGTAATTTTGACAAAATGGCTGACGTGCAGCCGGGTAGGACTCACCCTTTCCCTTAGAGCTGGGCAGCTGCCTGTATCCAGATGGGTTCCTTGTCTTCAGCAAGAGGTAGAGAACAGCCATGGCCCTCACTCCTTCCTCCTCTATGGCTCTCAGGCAGGCTGCACAGCCTGCAGGTGGGACATTGCAGCCGTTGAGGAGCTGAAAGAAAAGCAAGTAAATAATGCATAGTCCTACCAACAAAACATAACCTGTGAAAAAATCCCGCCCCCATCTGTGGGAAAGGTGATCCCCTGATCCTACTACACAACAGGGAAATCAGGGACAGAGTAATGCCAAAGATGAGAAGAGAATGTATGGGAAGAGAATGTAAACTCCATTCAGCAACTCATAGCTGAGCCATCAACTTGGAAAAAAACGTGGTGTACAACAGTTAGCTGTCTAAAGAGCTAGAGATGGAATCTCTGCAGTATCTTACAGCAAAAATGTCACTAACAATGGTCCTGTGTCCTGAGCTGGACAGATCCTGAGGAGTTTACTCAAAGGCAGTTGTTTTTGCACATGGAGAACAATGAAGGAAAAACCAGGGGCCTGAGCTTCATTTATCTAAGTGCCCTTTTACAGCACTTCCATATTTTAGATACATTTTAGCATATCGACTAATTAGATTGTATGTTTTCTCTCTCCAAATTACAAAAGTACCTGTATAACAATGTTTTCCAAAGAATGCATGTGTCTTTAGTAACTTACATTGTTCTTTTCTTCAGTACTCAGGACAGGTGGGTCGATAGTGGCTAAACATTTTACAAGTGATTCCCAGAAGGACTCATTCGTTTTCTCATGATTCTTCAAGTAACTGGCATCAGCAGTAAAAGCCCTCTGGAAGATGTCTGGGAGGGAAAACAAGCAAATCACTGTGCAGCAGTAGAGGTGGGTTACAGGGCAGTGTTCCTACCGTGCTCGGCACAGGCATGGTGACAGACATCTGACTCTCAACACACTGCCCAGCATCAGCACGTGAGCATAGAGGAAGGAGCAGTGCTGTGTTGTATAAAGCAACTCAGTTTGGCAGAAATCAGTAGGAAAAATGTCAACAGTCCATACAAATTACTGATGCCTTTGTCTTAGAGAAGCAGGGGAAGTATTCCTGGCTATTTAATGGATGCTTATTCTGACCATGCTATTTTATAGACAGGCACAAAGGGATGGATGCCAGGTTATTGAGCCACCTCATCAGGCACTTAATGCACAACAAAATCTTCCTCACGCATCTGAATTCCCACCAACACACAGCTGAGGCCTGAGGAGAAGCCTGTGGAAGAGCTAGGAACTGACTGCTGGTCTCTTTTTACAAGCAAGGCGATGGATGGAGTGTGTTTTCAGAGGAAACAAGTTTCCTTGACTCATAAACACTCTAGCAAACACTTCTGTGTAGTGTGAATGAGCCAAAGCTTTGATCTTCGTGCACTACACTTACCTTGCTGCTCTTCAGTAAGGTCTGGGAGTAAGACATTAAAGTTCTCCATTGCTATGCCTGTTCAAAAGAGGAGAAAAAGCATATTAGAAACAGATCTCTGGTTTTCTGTGTTATATTTGATTTTCTGCAAGAGTGGCGTCTATCTCTAGGCACTTTAGTTTTGAAATCCCTTCTCTGTTGCAATGGGAGTTTCACATCATGATTCATTTACCTTCCTGGAACACCTTTGAGTGAGTCTTGCTGAGCTGGCCTTTGGTTATTAAGGAAGAACAAGAGTCTGATCATCATGAGTAAAATGAAAAGAACTGACTTGATCATTCACACTGTTGTTTTTTACAACTACCAGGGTGTCTAATTAACTATTTACAACAGATATGAATAACTTAACAGGCCCTGTTCCATTCACAAAATGACGATTATTCTGTACCTTTTACATCCTTGTACTTAAAATGTACTAATTAGGGAAGACAGTGAAAATAGTTCATAGGAAGGCCCTACAAGACTTAGATCCCTGGGCACTCAGAAGACTTTGACACTTCAATGTCTGTTCTTCCCAAGTTGTCATAGAAAGAAAATTTCCACTAACTTCAGCTTTACGAATTAAAAAATTGTGTCGATCCCAGATTTCTTACTGGTATTTTCACAGAAACAAAACTTTCTGACATTCCCAAAATTTAATGTTTCCTTTTGTTTTGCTAAACTCACCCCAGAAATTTTGTGTTGAGGCTGTTTTATTCTGATGATGCATTTTTTGTGGTGGTTGCGATTCTGAACAGTTGCCTCTGCCCACCATGGTCCAGTATCCTGCACTGACTGCATCCCCTCTCATGCAGCATCTCAACTAAAACGCTATTGTACCAAGAGATGCAAAAGATTCTTGGGGAGCCTGAAGTAGTTCCCACTATGCAGGGCACAATAGGGAAACAGTTTATACCCCCCCCTATATTTTCTTACTATATGACTTTTGAGTCCATTCAACAAAACACTTCCAATTGAGCAGTTCGATACCTAAGTATTTCCTTTAAATTTTTCAGATGGAGACCTGTTTCCTTCCTGACAGGCAGTTTCAGTTCTCTAAAGCCCATCAGATCAGTCACAAAAATATTCTAATACAAAACTCAAACCAGAGAACACCCAGGCCCAGAGAATATCTTCAGAAGGACAACATAACACACAAGCAAACCTATCTTCATTCTGGAAACAGAACAACTTTTTAGCGTGTCAGTTCTCAGAAGAAATTAGACACAAACAGACTCCAAAATAGCTACAAAACCTATCCCTCCTTTGGAACGAGGGTCAAGGTCCCACATTCCTGGTATGTTGGTGATTCCAGGGGCTTTCTCCTTTCCTAGCCTGCAAGTGCTCTTGAAGTGATAAGGGCCTTAGTTTGAAACTCTTTTTAGCCACTAGTTTGCTGTTTGGTTCTGAGAAAGTTACACAACCCCTTTAACCACTTCTAAAGGCTAAGCCCAGAAAACTGCTTACCTGCCTTCCTAGGTCTATTGTGAGAAAACAACAATTTAATATCTTAATTAAAGTGTTCCTGATAATGACTCTATGCAAGACACCTCCAATAGCAGATAATACCTTGTATTTAACCACCTGATATAATACCTGGAAAAACTGGCAAGTTTTTGGACAAACAAGCTTTGAACTCTATCAATTAGTCTAATAGAACTTTTTACCTCTCCCACAAGCCCTGCCTGCCTGACTCGCAGCCGTTGCTGCTGCTGCTGTGGCAGCAGTACTGAGTGACAAAGGCTGGCAATGTGAGACTGTGAGCACCCGATAGGGAATGCAGGAAATGCATCTGCACCCTCTGCCCAGGTAAGCAACAGCCAGTGTTGAAACACAGAAACCCAACATACCACACCCCGGATAAACTTGTTCCTGGCTGCACAATAAAGAGTGTAATTTCTGTGCAGTCGTGTATCTCTAGCTATGGTTTTCAGCCTTTTTCAGTATCTTTCTTGTCTTCCTATTTCCTCAACTTACACCTTGCAAGAGTGTTTGCTTTCATAAGCTATATCCTTTAGGCCTCTCTGTGGAATGCATGGTTGAAACATCAGGCCTAAAGGGACAAAAATTACTTTAAATATAAAAATTTCTTTTTTAACTGCTAAATTGCCTTTCATAAAAATATTCATAAACTGATAAATTTTAACTGATAAATTGCCTTTCACAAAAATATTTATAAACATCCACATATTTTACTGTTGAGTGAAATTCAGGAGATTTGTCTTTGCTGCTCCTAATACCTAGTGAAGGCTGCTTCCATTGGCACATTTGATGCATGTTGCTATTCCCATGACATAAACCTGTCACTGCAGCTGCCTTATGCTGGCTTTGCATCATCCCAAAGACAAAGTGAGCAGGTAGGCACTAGCAGATCTGTCCCACCACGCATAAAGAGCAGATTCAACACTGAAGGCAGAGGAGACACTGTCAACCTCATTTGCTCTCAGACTAATTTACCTTAAGACCAGACTGCACAGCTGTATCAGCAGCAGAAGCACATTTGCCTAATGCACTTATGCACCCCATTATGATAAGTCCTGGTTGCCACAAGAGGAGCTGCCAGCATCTGCTCCGATATCCCTTTCTGTGCCTCCAGCATAGCAAAGCCCAGTCACCACGCTTTACGTAAATAAGGAAGTTGGGTTCATAATTTCTCTTAGACTATGGACAATTAAGTCCCCTGTGGCTCTTCTGGAAAGAAAATGAGATCTAAACAAAGGATAAGTACAGGCACTTAATTAGTGTATGTTTTTAAAGTGATTTAGTTGATTATACTTCATAATAAGAGAAGGATGATGATAGACTGGCATTTCAGCCTCGCTATGAGCTCACTGGGGAATGACATGAACAACAGACATCATCTTGCTTTCCCCCACAGTAAATCAGAACTTAATTGCAGTGAGGTCTTTTTAACATGTCAGAATAAGATTTGTGTGCAGTCAGACTTCTCCTAGTTGTTTAGAAAGTGAGGTTAAAAACCACTGTACACAACAACTTTTTGCTTAGCTGTTGATACATATCTGAGTGAAATTGTACAATGGGATAGCAAAAAATGCAAATAAAGTGAAATAAGATTGTTTTGCTTCAAGACAAAAACCAGACAATCCTAAACCTTTTTCTTTGGAACTACTTTCACCTTTAAGTTACATGCTGACAACAAATCTTGCTGAATTCTACTTTAAACACGAACACCAACTCCCTCCCTACCCTTCTCTCACACCAAACCAAACCAACTTCATAAAGCGCACCTGCAAGTCTCAGGTAGGTCCTAGCAATTGGTTCCACAGAAGAGGTCCTGGAGGGCTGTGGCTACGGTGAAAGCTGGTAGCTTCTTCCAGCAAGACAACAAAAACTGATCCATGCCAGCTCAGTTTGAAACCACTCCTACTCTAGTCTCCTTGGGCAATACCACCAGTGAGATAACTCTGCTCTTCATCTGCTTGCCTTCCTGTTGTCAAATACAGTTGACATGCAACAGAGAAGTAGCAAAACTCAAAGACCTCGCTGTGACTGGCACTGGGGGGTGAGCAAGGAGCCCATCCACCCCTTGCCACAGCACTGGCGCTTCCTCCCTCAGCTCTCACAGCAAGCCCAGACATGGTGGCCATGCTGCTGCCAACCCGAGTTGGTTTGCTGCTTCCTGCCTGTTTTCCAGCTGTGCTGGTAACAGAATGTCTGTGCTCCCATATGCATTTGCATACACCGTTTGAAATTACCTGGTTTGTATTTCTCCTTATGCACCGTGTGCTCTTCTCTGTAGTCGCTGGAAAGCTCTGAAGGGAAGAAAATGAGCTCATCAGAAGCCAGAAGAGCTCGTTTGCAGTCTGAGTAAAGCTAAGGCAAACAAGTCTTCATCTACACATAAAGTGCAGGCATTGCCACAAGGATTATATTAAAAAAAAAGAAATATATATATATTTTAAAAGACGGATAAACCCAGTCAAGAAGACATAGAGGTTACAGGCAAGCCCTGTGGCTCACCCCGACAGCACCACAACCCCTTGTAAAGCAGTGTGACACCTCAGAGAGCTATCAACAACCCAGCCAT